GCGGCTCTATTCAATATAAGGACAATGAAATCGAAAACGATTTTTTTTCAACTCGACATTATTATCATTTCTCTTAGCCGAATTGGACGAATTATTTTAGATATACTAAAGGTACATGGTAATAACGCACTTGCAGTTTTTGTTTATTTCTACATTTATAATGCATAAACCATAATATATAAATATATATTATGTATGTGAAAGGTCACCATTTTTACAATAAATTATTTAGTGAATAGTTTTCTTGAAAATTTGAATGTACCTAATTCAAAATTCGTTTCTATTGTTCTTAGTGACACAAACTGAAGTAACTCAAAAACTACTCTTGAGCGTGTTTAGTAGCTTGTATATATATTACGTTTTGTGCGTGTGTTTTTTTAAAAAGGGACATTTAATTAATTAACTTTGTACTCACCCTCGGCATACGATATGCAGCAGTGTGTATCAGTGTTTTCGGTTATTACACTCCACACGGTCTTACTACAATAACAATCATTACAATGTTAATGCAAATTCGGATTTATTTAACTATTTTGTTTTTTTTTTGTAAATATTAAATTTCTAGAATATACACTACGTTTATAATTTTATCTAGGTTAGTACAAATGGCAATATTCTATTATACAACCTACTGAATTATACAAAATATAAAATAATAATTTATTACCATTAGTTATATTATGCGCATCCATCTACTTTCTTTCGCCTACTTATTTAACATGGTATCCATTCAAAATAAATGGGATAAGGTGAAAATATAAGTAAAAAAATTTTTTTGGAGGAGGTGGGGGGAGAATAAATTAAGAGTTCAGAGCTTTAGCACTTGTGTGGATGGTTATTATATTGGTACTGTTATAGTATTATATTTTTTATATTTGACATACGAACGAGCTCACATTTTTTAACGACATGATTAAAATGAAAAATAAATAGGCGTCGTTAAACTGGTGCCTTTTTCGTTTGCTGCAGTTACACATACGCATAATGTACATGATCATATTATCATAATGTACTGTTATTGCGTGCGATGACGTAGACGTAATATTCGTATACTATCCGTAAGTATATAATAATATAATAATATATATATATATATATATATATATATATATATATGTATATTGATGCGCGTGAGTACAGTAAAAGCAACCCAAAGAATTTTCTTCGTTATGTATTTCTTTTTTTCAACGAATTCGGGGTTTGGGTAATATTAATGGAAATCGAGTCCCTACAAAAGTATTCCGAATAATAATGGATGACAGTACCGCGTCACACCATACACCTTGCCGCGCCATCGTCATCGTCGCGTCGGCAAGATAAATATATATATACGTATACTATACATTTCAATGCATATATTATTACGTGATTAATCATTTTTATTTTTAAAACTTTCTGATAGTTAGACCACAAAAATTATAATAATTTTAATGGATTTCACGGGAATCGATGGGACAGACAAAAGCCGAGTTATTAAAAATAAAAATAAAAATCATTTTATTCCGAAAAATAAATAAAGTTTTTTATTATTTCATAATATAGGCGCGTCGGCTCCGGTCGTCTCTCCTACACCATTTTTGATTTTCTTTTCGTTCTTAAACACATTATTATGTGCACAAAGTATTCCTTACCGATTCTCTTTTATTTCATGTGAACGATAATAATATTGTATTATGTTTGCAGCCCAAACGGAAAATGTGTACACAATAAATAATAATAATAATAAAAATAATAAAAACCGATCAACCCACAAGATCTTTTTCACGCAACAAATAGTGAGCGGCGCACGAGTTGAATAATATTCCGTTTGTTTGAATATAAATATTGACTTGTTTGATTTAAATCGTCTGATATAACATTTCTAATATTATTTTTTTAATTTTTTTACTACGTAGCCGAATATAATATGATCCACGCGGTCGTCTGTGCTCTTATTTGATATTAAATAGTCAAACGGAAATTTCATTAAAGCTCGGCTACAGTTTTTGGTTTTTTTTCACTACTGCCAATTTTAAAATAATAATAACATAATGTCGTGTGCAAATAATATGGTTACCGTGAGCGTTTATTCTATTTATTATTTTTTGATCCCAATATACCGATATATCACAGTGACCCGGCGCAGCTCAGGAATTTAATGCGATTACGCGAGAATTATTACTATGGGAAATAAAACAATCGTTTATTAATTAAATCGAAAAAACATATTCTCCATTTATATTAAATATGACGTTAAACAATATTTCTTTTCGGTTGACTCCACAAAATCGAGTACACTCCTATTATTGTGTTTGTACAATAATTATTGTTCACGGGGAGCACTACAACAATAGAACGTTGGTAGAAATCGTTTATTGGTTATCACTTATCACCAAACCTTATATAATATAATGTTAAAAATGATAATATATTCTTATAGTGTAGCTATATAATTGGCGCTATAAAAATATGCATTTTCATCACTTTTAACCCCTAGGCCCTAAGGCAGTAGTTTTAATCATTAAGCGCGTTAAGTGTAAATCAATATACTTAAGACTTTTTGAGTATGTATCCGAATATTGTTCTTTTAAGGGTACTTTTTGCGTGCAACTTTTTTTTTACATTTTAATACCATCATTATCAAGATTGAACAAAATAATGATTTGCAGTATTATACATGCTTGAAATCGAAACTACTGCACATTGTGTGTTAATTAATTATCATACTAAAATATATTGTACGAAGTATAACTATTTCTTTTAAAAAAATCATGTCATAATCACTTACTATTTTAAATAGATTTTTATTAGATTTATAGTTTAATCAAATTTAAAAAATAAATTGAAAACTTATAAGACACAATATTATGCTGTTTGTGAAATAATGTGAGGATTAAAATTTACTGTCAATATCACGCTTAAATAATTATTTTTAGTGTTCTTACTTGCCACATAATACAGATAATATTCCAAAAATATCAAGACTGGTAAAACTGATAAAGCTATTGTACTGTATAGTAGAGTAAATCGAGCGCCTCTAAAACCCGTCCTTTGAATGTGATTAAATTTGTTACAATTGCTTTCGAATTTATAACAATATTAATAAATAATAATGGCTTGCACCAAGTAAACCATAGTCTCCGCCGTATCCTATTGGCTTTTCCTCCCCGTTATGTATTTTATGACGAAGTTTTTAGTTTTACATTTTAATTTTTAATTATGTTAAAAGTGTATAATTAAAAAAAAAAATATCTATATATCTGAAATAACCGTATAATATATTATTCCCCTTATATACTTACATAGTGGTACATACCTACCTGTAATTAAACATTTTACAAAAACCCGGTACTTTTAATTAAGTTAATACAATAGGTTTAACAGATAAACAGATGTATTATTTTTGAACGCATAATTGAAAATGTTATTAGTTTGGTAGGTAGGTGTATTATGTTTACTTGGCGTTTTCAATTCGAAAAAGCTCTGAGGTTATATAGTCGTTGCCATCGGATGTGTCATCTAAAGCAAATTAAAGTCAACCCTTACAATTTTCGACCTATATTCAACGACGCAGTAACACCGTAGGTATTAAATGAACACGTCGCACGTTCAAGTTCTATTTTATGTACATCGTTTTATTATTTTTTTTGGTCCATGGAAAAACTAACTTTCCGAAAACAAATATTGACATTTCGTGTGTGAACGACTTGAGAAACCACGGAAGGAAATATCGTCAACTATCAACCATGTCCCCACCTTTTTTTATTTGATATCTTTTTCAGCACAATTTTCCGGTGGTTTCAATGGTTCAGATACCTATTGAAAACGTATTATCCTAAGCTCGAAGTGCTACAGAGTGTGCGAAAGACTTATAATCATCTATATATTGACCTTATAAAATAATTATATATATTCTATACATATATATTATATATACATACCTCACTGATAGATAACGAAAATATATGAATTATACTGCCTTATTATATTATACTCTGCTCGAAAATATATTTTTAATACTCCACCATACAACCTATATACCGTATATGATTATTATAGTTTTATCTATATACATCCGTTCTAGGCTTATCTGTTCGTAAATAAATTAAAATATCAATATTCGCAACTTAAAATCTTCAATATCTCAATACACTGTTGAAAACTATTCATAAGCTTAACTATTGGATAAAATTACTAAAAATAATTCGTAATAAGCATATAGAAAGTTTAGCTTTGGAAAACTAAATATAAAACAGTTAAATTATACTTTAGGATATCTCTATTATTACTAGTATTGAGCAACCAAATTTCTGCAATAATAAACAGTGTTTGATTGCAGTAACGCAGCAAACATTTTCCCTTTTTGTGGTTTTTTATTTTATATTTTTCAAAATACTCTTCATTAAATGTTTGGAAAACATAATAATACATTAATCATAAAAGCAGAATATTTTCGAATACTATTTCTTTTCACAAATAGGATGTACACTTCCGATCTTAAACAATATATTATATTGATCCAATTATCGCGGCATGTCTAACGTATGTCAAACATTTGTATAAAGAATATTATGCTTTGGAATTTGAAATGAGTGTTTGCAGCATAATATTTTTATAATATGGGTTTATAGTTTAAACTTTAATTTGATCAACACAGTATACGGTATACGTATGTGGTATGTGTATAGCAAAGTTAGTCATTATTCGAAACTTTTTTTTTTATAAAATAACCACCTAAGTAAAAATTGCTTTGGGTAGTTTTTTACCCTAATACATTTTTTGTAATTATTCGATTACAATGTAACTATTTGAATTATATTTTAAAATAATTATTCTATTGAAAAATGATTTGAATAAATTAAAAAAACAATGGTGTTGGGGTGTTTGTTCGAATAACTATGATCTTTGAAAATTGTTCGATTACACCGTTATTCAAATAATTATTTTGAAAACAATTTGCCCATTTGTTTCAAAGATAGTTTATGATTTAAATTAACCACTATTTTCTATGTTCTCTGCAGTGTTGCCGACGTACGCGCCAACGTCCATGTCGTCATCGTCGGATTTCACGGGTCCGTCTTTTTTGCTGGAGCCTCCAGGGAAGTTCGAGTTCTCCAACACGACGGGCGCGTGGATTGACTGCACCGCGGCCGGACATCCGGCACCACACATCCGGTGGCTGACGTCCGACGGGACACCCGTGCCGGACGTGCCGTCGCTCCGGCAAGACATGTCCAACGGCACACTAGCCCTGCTGCCGTTCCCGCCAGCAATGTACAGACAAGACGTACACAGCTCCGTGTACCGATGCTTGGCCACCAACGATGTTGGATCTATCGTCAGCCGTGACGTACACGTCAGAGCCGGTAAGTTATAATATAGAATTTGTAAAATTATTTATTTTTTCACATTTTAAAGTTTTTTTTCAGTATATTATTAGTATCGAAGAAAAATTACTGCTATCGAGGCTACATTATAGCTTTATACTTATATATTCGAGAGATCCAATGCGCTCGAAAGTAGCCTATATGTCTCCCAAAAATATTGATTTTAATTTATACATTAAGTAATTCAGTTTTAAACCATCTCTCGAGAGAAACGTGTTTAAAAATATTAAAACTCGACGAGTAAATTATTAAATACTATAATAGCATAATAATAGTATAATAACATGATCAAAGCCCTGATTAAATCGTTTTTATTTAATATATTTATTAAATTTGTTCGTCACATTTACATATTTCAGCGGACGGAAAATAAAGTAAATGACAAAAAAAATTAAGTTTAAAACCTTTTATCGTTTTACACTTCAAGACACGCAGCTTTTATAGATATTTTATATAGTGTTCACGACCACGTGCATTTACTTCATGATTTGAGAATTTTGAATCAAAAAAGTTTCTTTGTGTACCTACTATAAAAGCATTGAAACATATAACCGCGCGTGTCAATCACATTAACGATTATTGCACTGAATCCGAACTCGCATTGTTCGCAATTCAAATGGACAGTGTAAACCTTCGGTTCTTGGAACGATTCCGCATTTCCGCTACAAAAAAACATATTATCCAATAAATCCACAAATTAATTATTGATACTTCAAATATCATTGCCTGTTGTTGTGGTAGCTTTTACGGAATTTTTTAATGGGATGTCACTACTCGCGTATGGCAATTCAGGTTATAAAAACTGTTCAACATACCTTTGGATATTACAGAAACTATAAAATTGTAAAAGCTAAATAACATAAGGTAATAATAATTAATAGTTCTATGTTTCGACGATACAATAGAGATGAGCCAATTAAAATTGTACATTCGAAATAAAATAGTGTTTTTTTCTAGATTAATTTACGTTTTAGGTACTTAATAGTACCGTCGATTAAGAAAAAACTTATAAGTTATAAGATACATGGTGGTGGTGCCTGGGGGGGGGGGGGGTATGACATCCTCAATACGCCTCCCTCTCACCCAAATACACGGAATTTTTGAACACTTTTGTTGTATCGTGTCCTATAATTTACATAATAATATATATCTATATATACCGAACATAATATATCATGTATTATGAAATCATTGCGATTTCTTTAGTATATGCAATTGTGCAAACATATCTCAGTATAATTGTACAAGCGAATGACTCTGTATGTACATAATATTATATTAATTGTAGCATATCCAAATTTCACCTAAGTTTATTCTTTAAATTACCTGCCTACTATAAACGCATGTCCTACATGCAAATTTATTCAAACGTGTACAATTCACAAGTCATCAATGTGAATATTAATACCATGTGACAAGCTAAATTTAATAGTTGACTGTCGTCACACCATCATGCTCTTATAAAATAATATAATATGTTCAAGCAAAATAGCTAAGTGGAAAGTACTATAATATTATAAATGTTACCGTCATATCAGCAACGCCGATGTCTAATTCCGAAGTCTAATGCAGAATGTCACTCCAAAAGTCCAAAATAGTTTTAATATCTATAGCCATGTAGCAGTATGATAGTACTTGTGTTTACAAACGAAATCGCACTGAACACGCAAAATTTATTTTCACTGGTATTTAAAAACACAACATTACAATTTATGCGAGTCGTCAATCGTCATCTAAGTAGGTATTATGATTTACGTTGTTTTATTAAAATAAAATAATGTAATGGGTAAAGGTCAATAAACTAAATTATTCATACTATACATACAATCTACATCTAAATTTATGAAGTATAATAATCAAATAAACTAATTATTATGGGTAGGTACATAGTATTACTATACCGATAAAGGTTAGTGAATAGTTAGTATACTCAATAGACTTCAATAAATCCAATTTAAAAAGCGAAGTATATACATATTTTATAATTTTTTAATATCATGGAAAATAGAACGACATAATTTTAAATTTGCAAATTTGTAATTACATTCTTATACCGTTCTGCATGATTTCCAATTTGTTTATTTTTTAAAAACTATAACATAGTTTTATATTAAGGATATTTTTTGAATTTTTTGAACCCCATGTATACATTTTCCATAACATGGGGTAAGTGTAGGCCTCTGTCAAATCCCGTTCTCAAATTTTCGCTATTTGAGAAAACGTTTATAAGTAAAACCAACCACTCTCTATGCACATTACTGTCTATACTTGTCTATACTATTATAGTACCGACTATGAACAGTATGAACACGAATATTCGATTATGAAAACATTAGCACCCGTAAAATATCAAAAAAACAAATATTATTTCTTAAGAAGATTAAGGGTTTCAACCATAGATTAAGAATGTATACAGAATAAAATCAGTTTCAGAGTACCTGTATAGTGTATATTATTTACAGAAATATTGTAAAACCGCACCGTCGCGTGCAAGATTTTCAAGAAAGTTATTAATCATTAGGTATTTAAATAATTACAAAATCATAAATTTAAAATAATTAATAACTGTCTTGAAAATATGAGTATTAAAAAAAAGCTTCCGTGAAAACACGAACGGCGCGAGGCGTGTTCTCGATAACTTTTATAACGACCAACAAATGCTTACCTATTATATGATACTTATACTTCCACCGCGTAATCAGAGTCTGAAAAATTTGGAAGGCTGTATTTACTATTTTACTATGCAACATGCGGTTTGTGACAGTATCATGTTACATAATTTAACGTACGAGACATGGTAACTGATTTTTGAATTGCATCCTCTTGATGTCTACACCACCCTATATATTTTACGAGGCTATTTCACTGTACATTTTGTCACCCAGGTGCGTCATGGCAATACCTCTTGTCTTTATTTATTTTTATTGAAAATCAGGTTTATTGGTACCACTGTATAACTGTAATCATTGCGCGTGTGGTGTCTACCGGTGCTGCCAAAAGCGACGGTGGTCGTAACGTGACACGGGCGCCGGCAGAACACTACGTTTACTCCTGGATCAGAAGGTTTTTTTATATGAGGAAAATGCGCAAAACGTTCGGTGGTCGATTAAATATTTTATTGAAAAACTAAGACAGGTTAAACTAAAAATGGTCGTTTCGCTCGGGTCGT